CTGCCTGATGGTCCATTAAGCTGATCTCAGACGTGGCTTGTAATTCACCGAGAAACTGCTTAATCCAGACGGAGAAGGAAAGCAGCAATTCATCAAACTGCTGGTGCTCAGCGACCACAGACTGCAGGAAGTGAAGCCTAGGCAGAGGGCGGTGCGGAAGGTGAAGTGTCTTAGGGGTGCGTATATCTTGGCCAATACATGCTTTTGAGTTTTTCAGGTTTATACCCAGGAGAGGGATTGCTGGGTCGTACGGTAACTCTATTCTCTTATTGATCAATGTCACCCCAATAAAGTTAAAATCAATCAAGCAATCAATAAATCAATAAATAATAAAAGTTTAATGTCCCGCAGTGGAACGGAAGAGTTGGTATGTTTTTGGAATCAGCTTAATCACTGGCAAAACTAATGTGGTCCAACAGGGACAAACCAGAACTCTTAATGCTTTCTACTTCTCCAACCCTCTTATAATTTGCTGTGTCTCAGTTACTGTTGGTGCTGCCCACCCAGATGGTCCTCCATTTCTTCACCACCACACCTGCTCCGTGCATGTCTGGGCACCCATCATAGCATGCTGGGCTCTCCTCTCCACCTTCACGCCCTGGTCTGCATCGCCTCATCTCTGGCCTGGCCTCCAACAGCCTCCTAAGCTGGCCTCCTTCCTGCCACCACCGTGGCCTCACTATAATCCACTCTCTAGAGAGCAGCCAGGAACGATTTCCCTGTCATCAGAACACCCTCTGCCAAGCCTGAACCCGGTCACTTTCCTGGGTACACAGGAAGGCGAAACGCCACGGCTCCTTATTGTGGTCTATGAGGGGTCCCTCATCATCGACGTCTCTGACCTCATCTGATCCAGGGCCGCCCACACCGCCACTGCCGTCCACTTCCCCAACATCCCAGCTCATTGCTGCCTTAGGGCCCTTGCCCTTTCTGCCCCCTCTGCCCCTGTGATTTGCCCACGAAGCACCATGAGTCTGCCTCCTGCACAGCATTCAGATCTGCATTAGACATCATGTACCTGTGGGGGGCTGTGCCGGACCTACAGTCCCCGCCATGTTACCCTGTGTTGTTGTCTTCACATTATTTACCAACTGAAACAGCGTCATTCACTCATTTGTTTAATTATATATTGATCCTCCCCTCAGCCAGAGACAGGACTCTGCCTGCCTTGCTTACTACTATATCCCCAGGACCTAGAAAGGGGTGTGGGATATGGTCAGGGATCAACCATTTCCCTGGTGCAATAAATGAACCAGGTTGACTAATAATAGGTGAGTGGATGCCTTTGCTTAGACATATCATGAGAAACAAAATTTTAATTACCATTTTTCTCCTGTACACAAATAGCTTAAACAATAAGTAATACAAACATGAGCAAACCTACTCTCTTTACTATAATTCAACTAGTTTGATCATTTGCCCTGATTATGAAACTAAAATTTTGAATTGAGGTTCATCAGAAATGTCAATATTTGAGTGCTTTGATTTTTAAAACGGCAAGTACAGTGGCTTTCTACCCTCCTATAATTATCCTGTGAATAGTTGGGTTAAATAAAAGTAAACACAACTATGTTTTCTTAGTTTATAGACTCACCATTTTTAAAAAAATGCACACTATTAGAATGTTTTATAAAACCCTAACCTTTTGCTAAGTATCTGTGGCAAAACTCTCCATCTCTCATCCAACTGCTCCAAATGTAGTTTCATCATTTTCACATCATCTTTGGAGGCCACTGAGAACAGTGATTCCTTCAGTTGCACAAGGTTGCTGTAGTTGGAGGCCTGGCATACAACTTCACTTTGCAGTGCCTGCCGAACACAGAATATGTTACAGATCTCTGATTGACAAGGAAGGACCACATGACACAGGAGGTTGTTATCCAAAGGCTCTGCATTCATGCAAAATGGAGGCTAAACTATGGGGACTAAACTATAGAAAGTTTTATTCCTTAATTGAGAAAGGAACCCATTTCATCTCTAAACAAACATTTAAAAGGCTACTGAAACTTGAATTTGTTTTCCAGGGTCTGAGTTACATTGTTAGGCACATTTAGATGCTGTAGAATTTCTTTCAGGATGAAGAAACTGAGCAAGGAAAGAGAATCAAAGGAGAACGGTTGCTGAAGAGAAAATGCATGCCTAACAATAACAGAGATGCGATTCTAGGTAACAGGGATGTGGGCTCCCTCTGTTTAGAGACAATATTGGGCCAAATTGGGGAGCTTAAGTGCTCTTCATTTTACTTTCATGCAGCCAAACCGTTTGTTTTTTATATTTCATCGGGCAATAAATCTCTTAGGTCTGTGAGGGATGCATAAAGTTGTAGTTCCCACCTAATAAGAGATAAACACGCACATAGATAGCTAACAACATAGCATGGTATTAACGGGGATGATAGATATAGCTGGCACATGGTAGGTGCTTGTCAAAATGCTTTATCCTCCTCTCTATAGTAACATCATCAAATCGGCCATCGCCAAGTTCACCAACACTTTGTCTTTCAGGTGTGGGTGGTTCCTTGTGGGATCACAAAACCAAAGAAAGAAGTGAAGTTGGCTGGAGGGCTTGCGTTTGCTCCCGTTTTACAATGCAGCCACCACAAAGAGCGTGTGTTTCCCCCACACTTCCTGGAGCTTGCCTGTGTCAATTGAAGTTCGCTCTCCACTTTGACCCTGTCTGCAGTGACGTCCACTTCCGGGGAGCCGGCTATGGCTTCGCAGCGCTCCAGCCAGGTCAGAAAGGTCGACAGCTCTTTCTCCAGCCTAAAGAGAGCAGAGACAGGAAGCAAATGCATCCAAAATTATCATATTAGAAAGCGAGGCCTTTCTGCAGTTGGAGGGTATATGTCTATATCTGTGTAATATGGAAAGATACATGTACATCCTGTCCACTCCCATGTTAAAAACATGACTTGACATGTTTTACATCTGGGATGATTACTGCCCATCACTTAGAGAACAGTTGGCCCAGAATTTCCTATTTAAGTACGTCTATGGCCCAGAGAATGTCGCTCAGTGGTTGAGCGTCGTCCCATGCACCAAGAGGTTGCTGCTATGATTCCCCTTCAGAGCACATGCCTGAGTTGCAGGCTCAATCCCCAGTAAGGGGAATGCAAGAGGCAGCTGATGGATGATTCTCTCTCATCGTTGATGTTTCTATCTCTCTCCCTCTCCTTTCCTCCCACTCTAAAATGAATATAAACATATTATTTTTATAAAGAGTGGCTATTGAAACCCAGGTGGCAACCGGAGAAGGAAGGCTGCTCACCGCTGCCAGTGGGCCAGCAGGTTCTCCAGCGCCATCTGTCTCTCCTTCGCCCGACTCAGCAGCCCCTGGTATCTCTGCTGCAGGGCCGCGGCCTCCTGGACAGAGCAACCTCTGCTCACGACCTTCTGGGCACCAGCAGAGAGAGCAGCCAAGGCACTGCTCAGGGACTCCAGGGCCTGGCAGAGATCCTGGGGAGGGGACAGGAGGAGGGCAATGAAAACAGACAGAAACAAGGCCACCATTTTCCTCTGAGACCCATTCCCACCAAAACTGTCCCCTCAGTCTAACACACAACAATGGCACTGAAAATTGTCTGACCATGATGTCCAGTGACACAGAGTGAGAGTGAGGAGAGAGTTATTTCATGAATGCAGGAATGAAAATGAAAACAGAGAGACTACTGCCCCAATAAAACTATGCTGCTGTATATCTGAATAATGTCTACTTTTCCTTAACAAGTTAGATAATTTGTGAAAATTATTATTCATTTTATGTGAAATTTATTTAAAAACTCTATTCTAAATTTTCAAGAGTTATATGTAACATGCAGTAATTTCTATAAAAATATATTGGAAGAGTACAGCTGACATAGCTGTTATCTTTTATGCATATAGTTATCTATAATAAAAGTGTAATATGCTAATTAGACCAGACAACCAATGACCTTCTGGATATCATTCCGGACATCCTTCTGGATGAATCCACAGCAGAGGAGGTTAGGGGTGATCGGGCAGGCAGGCGAGCAGTTAGGGGCGATCAGGCAAGCAGACAAGCAATTAGGGGTCAACAGGCAGGCAGGCAGAGTGGTTAGGGGCAATCAGGCAGGCAGGCAGAGGCGGTTAGGGGCAATCAGGCAGGCAGGCAAGCAGTTAGGGGCATCAGGCAGGCATGCAGAGTGGTTAGGGGTGATCAGACAGGCAGGCAGAGGCAGTTAGAGGTGATTAGGCAGGCAGGCAGGCAGGCCAGCGGTTAGGATCAAGTGGTCCCGGATTGCGCAGGGATTGGGCCTAAACTGACAGTCGGACATCCCCTGATGGTCCCGGATTGTGAGAGGGTGTAGGCCAGGCTGAGAGACACCACCCCCCCATGCACGAATTTCGTGCACTGGGCCTAGTTATGATAATAACCATAAGTAGCCTCAGAATGTGGCAGGTACTGTGCTATGTACATTACACACACCAACTCATTTACTCTCCATCAGACCCTTAAGAGTTATGTTCTTTCACTAGTCCCATTTTACAAATCAGAAAATCAAGACAGGGAAAAATAACTGGCTTCAGAAATCTAAATATTAAGAAAAATAGAATATTATCTTCTCTGGTAATAGTCTTAGTTGTCTATTAAAATAATTCCATGAAATTCAATTAACTTAATTTTCCTCATTTTGGGGGTACTTTTTAAAAAATGACATCAGTAACACAAAAACACATTCTTATTTTAACAATTCCAATGATGTCAGTTCCTCTCCTCTTTCCAGATGTGCCTTTGCCAGTTGTCTGCTTTCTGTCCCTAAAGCCCTTTCCTGCATGTCTGTATGTGTGTGTACACATGCACATGTAACAGGGATAACATTTTTGTTTATTAATTAACAGATGTTTTGTTTTCCTTTTTCTTTCTGCCTGATGCTCCTCCTTTGCTCCTTCCCCTGAATTCTGACAGAAGTATCTGCTATTCCTTCACAAAACATCTCACAACGGTCACCAGTTCAGGGACCAGACCAAACAAGCTAGTCACTGCGAAAAGGTGAGTGGGGACATAGCCTTTGCACATTTGAGTCTAGCGGGTTAAAATCTGAAATCTGCTCTGCACATGTATATTTTTCTGCACACTTAATTTTTATAATGCTGGTAAGAGGTAGCGGGATTTATTAAAGCTATGATATGAAAAAGTTACGTGTTCTAATTAAGAGAGAGGAAGACTTTTTTTCTGGAACAAAGTAGGTATTTTTAAAATTTAATTTTTTCCATCATCTCTTATCCCCTCCCTGTCCTCCACCACCTGCACCCATCCTCCTCCACCCCGCAATCACCACACTGTTGCCCATGTCCATGGAGAGAGAGAAATATATTTTAAATGGATACTTCTTTAACATACATTTTAATGAAAACTCACTTGCATGCTTATATTTCTTGTGTCATATGAAGTAAATATGCTGGATCTATATCATTCCTCATATAACATAAACATTTAAAAAATTTTAACTCTCATAAAAATGTTTACTATGTTTCCTTTTCAAGCAGGATTTATCAAGTTTCCGAGTTGATAAATAAGCAGAAATGTTGAAGCATACTCTTACCATATGTTCTTGGAGAGCTTTGTATGTTTCTGTAGCTGAAGAACATGTTTTAATTGGATCAGCAAGTTTATCTTCAAATTCAGACACAGACTGCTGGGCCTAAAACATTGATGAAATATCAAAATAATGGTGGGAAAAACATACATTAAGACGAGAAAGGTTATTGGGGAAGCAGCATGCCTATCATTTTTGGATAACTTTCAATGTGTTGATAAAATACGTTTAAAAAAATCTAAAATTAATGTGTCCTATTATTTCAAAGAAATATAAATAAGTCTTAATGCCTATCTGAACACAATGTATAATGACATTTTTTATTCCCTCAAAAATGTGCCATAAAAATAGTTATAAACTTAAGCATCATGGACAACTTGGTAAATAATTGGCAAATTGTGTTCTTTCCTTATTCCACTATTTCTGGACTTTTTACTGCATTGCCCTATAAATGCAGTGTGAAACAGGTCACTGTGGCATGCATGGGCCAATTCTTACCTTTCTAAGATTCTCTTCAAACTTTTGCTGCTGAGAGACCTGTCCCAGGATTGTTCCTTCCAGACCCTGTGCGTGCTCTCGAAGTTCTTCCCAGTATCTTCTTAGTTGTGTCAACTTGGCCTTGATGCGGGCTGATTCTCCAGTGGTAATAAACTGGGCAAAAGACTGCGCTTCTTCTTCCAGCCCTGTGATGCTGCCGATCTTACTTTCTATTTCCTGAATCGTGACCTAGTATTCAAAACGAGAAAAATGACAACGCAGGCTGAGCAAGCTTGCCTTCCTGAAATGATACAAATATTGCAGAGAGGAAACGGACATTTCAATGTATTGGGGTGGTCAGAGAGCAGCTATGAACAAACCCCATGTGTTTGCTGACCTCATTTTTGGAGGATAGATATGCAGATTATGTCTGAAATATACATGGGTGGTTGTGCTTGCTGGATGGAGAATGAAAAGAAATAGCTACTCCTGCCTGGAGTGATGTAAGCAGGGAGATGTCCCTGGAACTCTGAAGGTAGTTGGAATTCCCTGCTTACCCTATGAATCAAGGATTTTAACCAACTGATCAGAGAAGGAGTGTGCTCCAATCACTCACAGGAATGCTAATATTAACATTCGCTTAAATTTCCTAAAATGTAGTTGAGTATTTCAAATTTGACCAAACTACAAGCTTATCTGATTCCACTCCAACCTAAACCCAGTCTTTTCACATGTATCATCTATCCTTTATGCCAGTATATTCCAAGTCTGGAATCATTAAGATCACTTGGCCCCCATCCTCAGGGACTCGGACTCAGTTGGTCTAATGTGGAGCCAAGTCTTTGCAATTCTAACAATTCCTCAGGTGACGCCTCTACTGCTGGCCCTGGGCCCCCTCTCTATTGCCACTGCTTTACTCACTAGCTGTGGGCTCTACAGCAAAGCACCTACTTGCTACAATTTCAGTTGTGGGCATTTTATGTATTAGCCAACACCCGGAAAGTGCTGAAAGCCACCAAGGATGTGTGTGCATATGTGACCAGAAGTGTCTATCAGTCTCTCAAAAACATAGAGGCTTATTTATATAGAAGAAAATGAAAATTATTTCTCTGAGGAAAAGAGCCAAATCGTTCAATCAAAATAAAGCAAAAAAAAAAAAATCCAGACAATCTGTTTCAAATCATTTAAATGAAAAATACTGTTACCCTAGAAAAAGATAATGTGACTTAAGCTTAAATGAGAAAACATAGAGATAATTTCTGTCTAGATAAGGCAAATCAGAAATAGCTAGTGTGAGTATATGACTTATTTTACTTCCCATATGCATGGCTGCAATAGCATACTTGATAGGTATTTGTTGTTTGAGCATAAATACAATTCCTCCTTTGTTTTACTGTTTATAAATGATATTTTTTTAGAAAAATTACTCATAGATTTAACAAACATATATTGAGTGTTTCCTAGGTGTCAATAATTGTTGTAGGTGCTTGCAACACCTCAATGAAACAGTTTTAGTTGTAATTTCTTAGTGTAATACTTGTCATCAGCAAACTATATAATCCAGAATGAGAAGATAGAAGATGAACCCAGTATATGTTCTTATCACCTGTAAATTATCAATTAGGAATAAGAAATCAGTTCATTTGGAATAGCATGTAATGAAGACCAAAAGTGGGCTTGCAGATAAATATCTTCATACCTATGCAATGTTATGAATTAGTTTTATCCTGAGGTTGTTTTCAATGGAAAACATGACAAATACGGCCATATTTTTACTATTTCCTATCATTTAATTCTATGTGGAAATAGAACATGAACCTATTAGCCCAGATTCCACACTAAAGTGCATTTCACTCTATCTTTGATTATTTCTAGCAAATGATTTTCTTGCTCTTCATATTCATACAATACATTTTTAAATAGTTTCCAAAATGCCACATTGGAATATTAAAATGTATTTCTAGGCTGATGGCATGAAAATCCACAATTGAAAGTTTATATATTTAAAAATAAAATATGCAATTGTTTTGTTTTCTAAAGAGTAACAATGTAATGATGTTTGGTAAAGTTATATATTTCTGAAGTCCAGAAATTAAGGTTAAATAATAGTGAAAAGAGTGAATAGAAAGCATAAGCAAATTAGAACGTGTATGTTAAAATTTCAGAAAGAACAATTTTGAGACAAAACTAAGTGTGTTATTCTTTGTTTTCTCAGAATTTAGCAAAAATGATTAAATGACAACTTTGCAAAAATAGTTTTAAAGAGTAAACATATTCCATGAATATTCCTAATGGCTTAACATCTGTTTTTCCTACTATACCACCCAACAGATAAGCATACTTGTACATACCAGGCTGCACGTAGCCTCGGTTGCATAAGACGTGTGATAAACCAGGATGATCTGCACAGCATGTAAGCCAAGCTAAGCGAGATCGCACCCTCCCACCATGCACATGGCGATGACTTGCTCTGAGTCATAATGTGAAATGTTCCCTCACCTTGGTATTTATTTCACTATATTTAATTGAATGAAATGTCAGAGGGCTTCCCCTTTCCAATAAAATAGGCTGAAATAGAAAAAGAAGTGGCTGAATTTTAAAAATGTGATGTGTAAAAATTGCATATAAAAAAGGAGAAACGGACCCTCGAATTCATTACATTCAGCCCATCTTTTTCTTAAACTATTTGAATGGAGTGAACAATGATGGTTATTTTAGAGTTGGGGAGCTCAGATATCACAGAGTCTAGTCCATGCTCTGAAAGTCATCATAAATGAAAGAATCGGAGCGATGGGTATGATTGCTTCGCGTAAAGAAAATAATTTCTCCTCCTTGTGGTCTGTGAGGGTAAATATTACTAACTCTTGAACTAGACATTTGGGATAATTCTGTAAGCACAGTTGTAGATGATGAATACAGTTCATGTTGTATAAATGAATCAACAGAGTACTTCAATGGAGTTAATTCAAAATCAAGGAAAAGAATAATGTAACCATAAAATCATTTTAATGGTATTGCACACAATATTAGCTTTGGATGCTTAAGTCAGACAATATTAACACATAGTTCCATCTATATACGGTTGCCCGGTATCAATCAAGACCTCTTAGCTCAGCAATCTGTGTGAATTTAATTTTAATAGAGTCACATAGCAATGAAAGATTTGTCCTGGGCCAAAGAGCATTGGATGAAATGCAAGAAAGGAGCTTTTAAAAGCTAGACATGGATTATAAATGCAACGAACGTGTGAGCAGGTCACCTTAATCTGGTTGGTTTGCATGTCCATGGCAGATGGCGAGGTTTCCAAGGTATTGAGTTCTTTTTCTTTCTCAGTTATCCAGACGGACAGGGTCTCAAAATTATTGCCAAAATGTTCCCACTTGGTTTTCACCATTTCCATGGTTTTAATACTAAAATTAACCAAATTAAGTAAATCAAATGCAGTATTTTAATAAAGAACAGCAATACATTTTCCCTTAAATTGCTATGTAAAAAGATAAGTTATTTGTGACCATATCAAAGTTGAAACTACGAGGACAGGGAAAACCTGCACATTTGGTCCGACTAGTTGTCAGTTGTCGTCTTCCTATCTCCTCTGAGAATGAGCGTTTAACGAAATAGCTTCTGCACCATGCTATGAATAGAACTGTGCTTCGAACAAAATATTTCGGGGTGCAAGGGGGATTGAATACAGGTATCGTCTAGTTAAACGGCACAATAAGTATCTGCCAGAACTTATTTAAATAAACTGCCCGCGTACATAGTGCACACAGTTTGCAGCTGTCTACTTTTGTGGGCACGGTCCTCCTGGGAGAGGGACCACAGTGATGCTTGATACTCCAGGATCCTTACAAAAGGCATCTTTACGAATCAAGATGGAGCTTGTAACTTGAATTCCATGTTGACAGGCAGGAACTGCTCTATCATTGGAGCTAAGTCTTCAATCTATAGTCTATAATAACGTCAGCTATTCTCAGGTGTCTCTACAGTCTTGATTCCAAAATACTTTTATAAATCCTTGTACACGAGCACCCTAAATGCTTTTAGACAACTGGGGCTTTATTTGTAATAAATCTAATGAACACAAATTTAGCTGTAGATTTCCAGTTTGTATTAGCTATGCATGTGTATCCATGTGATTATGGCTTTCAGTTTAGAAAAAGAGTAAGAAACTTATAGTCTATCATTGCACTGGTAAGTCCCTTTGTTAAAAAAAAAAAAGTGAAAGAATTTTCCTGTTTACCGAAAGGCACTTGAAGACATCAAGAAAAAAAATACAATGGCATCATTGATTGTCCAATTAAATAATATTGCAGTCTCAAATATGTACCCTGTATGTGCCTAATGTTCTTATCAGTACAGGAAATGCAAGCTACGTTATATTGCACATTTCTAAATAAAGATGGATTCAAACGGACATTCCTCATAAAAGTAGATTCCTTCCTAATACACTTCAAGTTTTACTTTTTCCATACCTTGATGAATAGTATTTAATATTTAACATTTTCAAAGTTTAAAGTCATGATAATTTCCTCTAAATATATTATTTAACAACCTTTAAAGTTTAGGCAATGTACAATCTTAATGTCAAAGTGTTAAGAGTATAAAAACAAATTTTACATTTAAAAATCCATCTTAGAAATTATGTCCTATACCTTAAGGATGTGTCAGTGATTTGCCACTAAATAACTTTGAAAATAGGAATGTTCAGCCATATTGTTTTGAGGAACATTGGCCATATTCTCATGTCTATTCCCTCCCAGGTTTTTGTGTGTACATTTTGTACATAACAGGATACCATAGGCCAAACGATTCTTTCTTTCCTTTTGTAAGGTGAATATATATTAAATATTTAAATATAAAGTAGACTTTTAAAATTAATTTTTGGAAATAGAATATCAATCAGTGGATTTTGAATACTGAGGCACTGATGACAAGCTCTGTGAGCTTGGAGATGAAGACATTTGGACTATGTCTTATGTATTTCAGCCCAGAACCTACACAACCAAAATATCTCCTCTTCCCTCTAACTGGTGACAGCAGCATAATACAGTAAACATTTATTTTCAATATCAGTTCCTTTTTGAGATTCTCTCTCCAATGTATAAAGGCCACCGACTTTAACAGGTATGGCTTTTTCACAAACAGAACCCGTTTCCAAAGCAAAGACCACATCCCTGATATGTTTCTGCTCTGTTAGAGATGCTGGCTTCTGTGTTGGTGGTACTGTCTTTTGAATTGTGAGTTGCTTCCTCAAAACATGCTGAACTACACAGACACTTCAAGGTTTATAAAGAATGTGAGGAATACAATATACAGGAAAGAGTGTATGGAATGTTATCTCAGAGACGAAAGTTTAGGGCGTGTCAAGCACATACTCTTCTTCGAGTGTGTCTTCTAACTTTTTGACTTGTTCTTTGATTGATTTGGCCTGCTGTTGGAGCAGCTGCTTATTCTTGGGCCCAAGGGGTATCTCTGAAGCTTCCTTCACAAGGCTCTCAGCCTGGACTGCAATACCTTCTGTCCGCTTAGAAAACTCCTAGAAAAATATATTAGATATATTAGAACTGTTAGGAAGGCGACTTCCTTTAAACTCTGCCCTTAAATAAACTGCATATATGTACTGCAGAGTCTCCCCCAGGTTCGATGGATGGGTAGTTCACACATGCATGTGTATTAGCATATTATATGCTGAGCCATAAAACAGATGTATTTTCATCGTGGCCAGAATAGACTTTGCTATTTTCATTTTATATACACAACCATACGCACACACACACACACACACACACACATATATATACATATACCTTCACAGTAATCCAACAATTCTCACAAAAATGTTTTTTCACTGTTTCCTGGTTTGGGTTTATTGTTTAGAACTCTGAGCTGCATTATAATAATTGACTTATTCACAAATATGTTAGCTTATCACAGGACATTTCAGAATAATCAGGACAATCAATAGTGATTGATTTTTTCAATCATAGAGATAATAAATGTCCAGGGCAATAAATATAAATATTTGTTTATTTAATTGACAACTATCTGAGTCAATACAGAGTACCACTAGTATCTATCTATATAAAAGCTAATATGCATTGTATCCCCTGGGGAGTTTGACATAAAAGCTAATATGCAAAGTATCCCCTGGGGAGTTTGACCGAGAATTTGATTGCTCACTATGATGTGCACGGCAGCTGGAAGGCCTCAATCAGCCCTGATTGCTGGCCAGGCCTAGGGACCCTACCCAGCCCTGATTGTTGGCCAGGCCTAGGGACCCTACCCATGCACAAATTTTGTGCACTGGGCCTCTAGTTTACTATAAAGAAGCATTTTGTTAACTAGTTCTCTGAAAAGAGATATAATCTAATGTTAACGGTGTTGAACTTATTTTCTATACATCCACATACCACATGGTGGAAAGAAGAGAAGTTTTACAACTGTCATACATGGACCAGAATCTTGGCTTTGATCATTACTAGTTGTTGAACTTTGGTGAATTACTTTCCAGGTTCTGGCTCTTTCGTATGAAATGCCATGATGCTTTTCTGGTAGGTTATTAACTTACCTGGAACTCTGGCAAGTACCTATTATAATTTTTTATGTCCCTCATGTAAAATTGAGGACAAAATAGCTTATAAAATTCACACAATGATTTTCATTCAAAAAATCAAAAATTAATTTAATATATTTGAGGCACTGGTAAATTTTAGTGGTTACCTGAACTACTGACTACTGAATTTAAAAATGTAAACCAAAGGATAATTTTGAGTGAAAAAAATTCATCTCACTTTTTTCATGTAAGAGAATCTCACAGGAGGTTTAAATTTTCATCACAAACAACCATCTACTAAGTAGGTAATGTGGAAACCTAATGTAAAATAATTTTTTAAAGTCAGATTTTCAATAGCCATCTTTTCCCACAGAGCATCTCTCAGAATTATTACATAATGCCATATAAGATAGAGTTACTACATAAATCTACTATAACTTCATGTTTGAAAGATTTAATGTCCTCATAGAAATATCAACATTATTTCAGAGAAGTACCCTGCATTTTAAGAGGATAAAAATGAATAAGTAAAGCTTCCTTATACTAGTAGTAGATATATTTATATCATAAAATACGGTATTTGCTAATGTCACAATTCTGAATTCTAAGCTTATAACCACTCACTGCACTACTGATATATGTGAGCTTAGTTATTGCGGATTCAATTGTGAAGACTGACTTCACAGCATAATCTTTCAGCATCCCATGAATAGAATCAGAAGTAAAAAATAGTATTTTTTCCCCTTAATGTTTCCCAGAACCAAGGAAAAACCATGGAGAAAGTAGAGTTATGTTTGAAATTGTTTATATGCATTTAGTATCAGAGCCTGTTGTGAGAGGTATATGTATGGAGCAAGCACAACACAAAGGAATCCAAAGAACAGAATGGTGTTGATAAAGAGCAAAGAAAACAAAAATAGAATAACATTGTCAGGCTTTATAGCCACATCCTAAGGAGACGACATGTGAGTGGCAGCAGGGTGTAGCAGGAAAGAGAGGACTCTGGCATCAGAAAGGCCTGGAGCTGCAGCCAGGCTCTGTCCTTCACCAGTCATGTGACCTTGAGCCACATAAGTCTCTGAATTTTCTGTAACTCACCAGCAATCCCTTGTTGTGAAGATTAAACATGATATTCCATGAACACCCTCCCACATACTGGCAGAAGAAAGCACTCAAGTTCTTTAGCACAACCACTCCAGGGCTACAACCGGAATGAAGGCCGTATTAACAATATCAAGTGAGCAAAGCAATAGAGAACAATGATTCTAGCTTAGAAGTGCTTGTGCAGCAGCATCTGTAAACAATTAGCCAAGTGTCCCAGTTTCATCATGAAGAATATCACTGCCTTCAGAATTATTTTATTGCATTTATTTGTTAGGAAACTATTTCCCACTTTAATAAAAACTGTCTCTCAGTTCTTGATATTTAAATCTTATTTGTTTTCATTCCTCAGGGAAACTTGACCAGTGTATTGAAGAGTGGATGATCAATAAACAGTAAGTACTGATTAAATGCATAATTATAATGATTAAGAGTAATAGGGAGTGGAAACACAGTTTTTCTTCCGAATGAGTACCAAAGGACTCCATGTCTTACTGATGTACCTTTGTCTGTTCCAGTTCTGAAGACAAACTTTCCAAACTGCTAAAACTCAAGAAGCGCTCGTGGCTGGAACCTGTTTGAAATAGGTATCTGACCACTGTCTCTTTGTTGGTTTCAAATCGCTCCCATTTTCTTAATGTGACCTACATTTGAAAAAACAAACAACATATAATGTTATGAACTATCAGAGTATGTCACAAAATATTGTTCACATTTCTGTTCTTTGTCAGGCTGCCAACTTCTCGTTGACTCTGTTCAAATTTCAAACATTATACTCAATAAAGACAATCCTAATGGCTTCTACAAAGAATTTCCCTTTTGAGTCTTAGTTCATCTACAAAAAGAGTGTGTGTGGACGAGGACTCTGAATTTTCTACCAGCTGTAACGTCCTATGCATCTAAGGATGTTACTTAAAATGTAGATAAAGGACAAAGGAAAAGAAAGTCTCCCAGATTCTAGAAAGAGAGAGAGAGAGAGAGAGAGAGAGAGAGAGAAGGAAGGAGGGAGGGAGGGAAGGAAGGAGGGAGGAAGGGGGGGGAGGAAGGAAGGGGAGAATGGAAGAGAAAAGGAACAGGGGGAGTCTGCAGTGAGCAGGTGGCAAAATTCAAAAACTTTATTTCAGGTAATGTGCCAAGATCACAAGAAAGTATAACCTTGTGGCTGCTGGACTGCAGAAATGAGAAATAATTCCGTGTCAATTTCTAGATCCAGACAAGTGTGAATTAAAATCCTGGCTTTATTGTGGATCACTGCTCTGTGACTTTGAGTCAGGTGCTCAAACTCTTTCCTTTCTAAGCATCCACACTTGCAAAATGTGCTAATTATACCAGCCATCGCATAAGGCCGGTGTGGTGCTTAAATAGGTAAATAGCTAACACAACGTGGGAGCATCAGGGGTGGAAACAAGCAGCTTCTCCCAACAGGAGATGTAACCTGTGACCGGGAGTTGCCCAGCCCTGGACTCTGGGCTCCTACCTGGATGCGGCGCTCTTGCCTCTCCCTGCTGCGCTCCAGGCCGTCCAGGGTGCTCTCCAGCTTCCGCAGCTCCTCCTGCACCGGGCCAGGCAGCCCGCCTTCTCCCTGCCCGGCCTGCGTCATCTGCTGCTGCACATCCCTCTTCTTTGCAGAGATTCTCTTTGTCTTTTGCTGGAAGCATTTGTTCAAGGGTGGACATACATGTTACTCTCTAAGCGTCTAGGCAGGGACATAGCACCCAAACGTTAGGGGAGATACAAAATGGTAGGACCTCACACAGCTTGGACCCAAACTCTATTTAAAGTCAACATGAACAGTGAAAACGGCAGTGAAGACTGTGCATTGCTCAAAGATGGACATTATTGATAAATATTTTGTGTTTTCAATGGTAAACGACATCATTTGGTCTTGGTGTTTTGATTATGTGCAAATTCAGACAACATTTAGCATTCTGTGCAATACTCCAGAAGGAATTTGTTAATGATTCTCCTATTTGCCATGATTCTCCTAAAATAATTATTTTCTGCTTAAACACATGAAGACCTAAGTCCATTTTTAAAAATCATTTATGCTCTAAGAAATGCTAATATTAAGAAATGTAATTCCTACGCATATTCAGAATGATTGATCTGCTGAGAAATCTGGGGAAAGTCATGTTTTAAAATAAACTTTTTATTGAATTATAATGTACACACAGAATGGTAGGCAAATCTCAAGTGTACGGCTCATTAATTTTCACAAATAAATACACATATAACCAAGCACCTGACCCAAGAAATGTGAAGTTTCAAAAAATTAATGTAAATATTTACAATTTCATATTTCTCAGACTTAAATTGAAACCCAAACACAACTTTTACAATAATTGAGAACAATGTTATTACCAAGCATGAACTTTTCTGTACTCACAGTTTTTTATAATTCTTAAATATATCCATAAAGCCTAAAGCTGCCATTTTACATATACTTTTAGTGTAATTTTAATTTTTATATATTACATATATATAATTAGCTACCATTTGCTATACATTAAGTTAGCTAGAATTTTAAAAAATATATTTCTTTATTGATTTCAGAGAGGAAGGAAGAGGGAGAGAGAGATAAAAACATCAATGATGAGAGAGAATCATTGATCGGCTGCCTCCTACACACCCCCTACTGGGGATCGAGCCCGCAACCCTGGCATGTGCCCTTGGCCAGAATCGAACCTGGGACCCTTCAGTCCACAGGCCGATGCTCTATCCACTAAGCCAAACTGGGTAGGGCAGTTAGCTAGAATTTTGCCATTAAATATTTTACTTGAATTATACTTCCACTTATATTGAGTTTGACAAGTGACATTGATTAAAATTGCAGATTATCAATATACTAGAGGCCCGGTGCACAGAATCATGCACCAGTGGGGTCCCTCAGCCTGGCCTGCACCTTCTCACAATCCAGGACCCCTTGGGGGATGTCAGAGCATTTGTGCATAGATTCAGCCTGATCCCCACAGGCCAGGCCGAGGGATCCCATCGGTGCATGAATCCATGCACAGGGCCTCTAGTATGAATATAAGATCTTTGGTTAATCTCTTCCTGCCCTCCCCTCCCCCCTTCCCTCTGAGATTCATCAGTCTGTTCCATGTTTTCATGCCTGTTTATTGAGCATCTTCCCCCTGGTGGTCAGTGCGCATCATAGCTACTGGTTGAATGGTCAAACGGTGGAACAGTCACTTAAGTTTTTATATATACAGTGGGGCCTTGACTTACGAGTGTCCCGACTAACGAGTTTTTCGAGATATGAGCCATTTCTCGGCCGATTTTTTGCTTTGAGTTGCGAGCTAAAATTCTGGTTATGAGCCAGCTTCAGATACCCCACTGCTAGTTGGCGCAGCGAACGTCACAGTGAACGCCACAACATCAGCCCAGCATCACGTGTCTCACTCGTTCACTTTAATGATTTGACATACGAGTAATTTGAGTTACGAGCTCCGTCACGGAATGAATTAAACTCGTAAGTCAAGGCCCCACTGTATACAGATATATCTTTACTCCAGTTCTACCCCTATAAAGCACACTCTCCAGAAAGATCTGGTACTCCATATAAGTCATAATTTCTCAAACTGAGATGTATTCAGAATTATAAATTGAAAAGTGAGATTTTTTATGTAATGACAAAAGAATGTTGATCTCAAATAGGAAGCAATTATCTCCATGCTTCCCATCTCTGTTATGAAACAATTTGCAAGTTGTATAAAGGTTTTTATAGCAAAACCAACTTTCCCTTCACAATATGTTTTGAACTTTTTGATGTCCTCAAAACATTCAGGCTGAGAATTTGTCTTGCAGAATCTTTGAAATATTTTATATTTAAGAGAGAGACCAAAAGCTGGGTTCCTTTCCTTCCTGCACACCCCTCCCCTTTCCTTTGCCCTCACCCCGGTTCCGTGCTACTCCTCTCTCTGGTATCAGTAATCAGCTATCAACATTGCACAAATGCACTGGGAGAAGGGCCATTCTACCTGGTGATGAAGAAGTAGCTGCTGTGCTTCAAACAGGTTTTCCGTGTCCAAGATCTCCTCCGCTTGCTCCTGGACTTCCTTGGAACCAGAAATTAACTCTTTGAGGGAACTCTTGACGATTTCTTTGTACTGGACACAGTCCCCGAAACTGCTTAACATCTTTTCAATCTAGATGTTCATGAAAATATTGTAAATCGTATGCTCATGTAATCTTAATTTTTTAAAGAATATGTGTATAGTCTTTCTCACCAACTTGAAATATATGCACAGATCCCTAATCTTTATTCTTTCAAATGTTTTAAAGCTTCTTTATTATTATTAACTGCATAGTCACTTATGGGAGTTGCAAGGATCATTTGATATGGTGCTGCGTGGCATATTAAAAACCTGCTCAGCCTCAAAATCAAGGCAGGGTAACACAACTGCATATATTGTATATATTGTCTCCTGGATCCCTTTAATTTCAATCTTTTAACTAAAATAAAATCATTAAAAAAAACCTGTGGTGTAAGAAAGTTTAGTGTATCCTATTTAAAGTAAGAAAAATTTTGTATATAGGACAAAGAGAAAAAAAAGGGTATTTGTTAAAAATGCACTTCCAATATTTCAGGCAAAACATCAATATAATTTCTGATTTTTGTGGTTCCTTAGTGGATTCTTTTCCTTGTCATTTTCTTCAATTTTCAGCTTTGTCTTCTGCTATGAAAGATGGGCCATCAAAGGTTTTGAATGGCTTATGTTCCAAAATTTGATTAATCCTATTGCTGTTTTCAATTTGTCAAAAAATTCTTAAGAACATTATATGTTACATATCAAAATGATCATATAAAACTCAAATCACAAGCAGTTCAGAGTATTTTTGATTTATGCAAATTCACTACTAGAGTCTTAAGCAGATCCACATGGATTAAAAGTATAAAAAGTTAACTGGCCAACTGTTACATTAGAGATTGCTAGGAAGAATTCCAGATCTTCAGAATCACAGCACTTTGTAGTCATTCAGTTGATCATTATTTCAAGCAAGTTTATTAGTGATTTCAAGAAAAATACTGATAACTATCTATTCTACTTTACATTCTTACATTACTTTCCATGCACAAACTCATTAGACTTGTACGACCACCTGGTGAGTAAAAATACTCTAGCAGAGGGTGGAAGTAGCCCTATCAGAAATGAAGCAGATGGATTTGTATATTCTAATCTATAAAGGAATATAAACATTGAACTGTATACCAAGAAGTTTAAAATGAGTAGATTTTATCTAAAAGATCTTACGGGGCCGCAGACTAAACACTCAGTAGTTCATTACTGCCAGGCATCAGTTATGAGCATGTATTCTGTTCTGACACTATATTAAGTGCTGTGAATACATTATTGCATTCAACTCTTGAAATTACCTTTTGGCATATTTTTTGCCCTGTTTTACAAGTATGAAAAATAAGGTTCCAGAGATATTAAATGACAAGCTCAAGGTTACATATGTAATGTGGTACCGGAGTTAAACACTAACTCTGAGTTTGCTTGACTCTCAAGCCTGAGTTCTTAACTTCCATGTTGGTCCTTAAACTGACTATGAAATAATGCTCTTATTAAAAGTTAAAAAAAATTATGGAACTGATAAGCTTTGTATTTCAGCTATAGATCATTAATCTGAACTAATATTTGTCTGATAATATATCTGATAATGGCACAGACCATACCTCAAACATCCTACTCATCTTTTCCACCAATATTTAAATAAATAAGTATCAACTATTCTATTTCAACTAAGATTTCTTTATAAACTTGCTTGTTAAACTACAACCAGAAGAGGAAGAACCTTCCAGATTCCTCGCCCAGAAGTGTGAATAAATGATATACCTCTGACAATAAAGTTGTGAGAGCCTTGAAGGAACTAGATACTTTTGCCAGCTCATCGCCCTGCTTCTGGGCTTCTTTCTCAGAAGAAACTTCAATCAAAACTTGAAGCCTGGATTTCAGCCAGCCAAGAGTCTCACCTTTTTGGGTAACACCATTTCTTATCTCCTGGAATGAAAGAACACTTTGATGAACAAAATACAATTGTGCATCATTACTTTCCAGCAAGAAAGGGTCCCACCTAAGAAGGTATGTAAGGGGCCGGTAGGAATGCCAGGCATTCATTCCCCAATGGAGTGCCTGCTCATTTCACTTTGTTCAGATCTTTCACAAAAGGCTTCAAGTACGAGAAGGAACTGTTTCTCCAAAGCCAATACCTCATGTGTAAAGTCAGTACTCTCTAAACCAAAGGTTACCTTCATGATTACATGGTTAGATATTTACAGATTCCCTGGATCCCAACAAGGACCCTTCTAAAAGTACTGTAGAAGAATATCTGATACCAAAATTGGGAATTACAGTATATACTATACTTTGTCATCTTGCTTTCTGTAAGCTGGAAGGAACGTGGTATTTTTCAAAGAAAAGAAAAAAAGAATCTTTATTTTAGTTAGCTGATTCTTTTATTGAAGAGGTCACTTGCTGAATACTATTATAGATAACTTAAAGATTTACTTTAACTTCATTAAATCATATTTTATGCCTTGTTTTTGTTAGCCTTTAGAAGTCAATAGCCTAGATAGTAAGATACACAAGCCGGATCATGACTCTAATCCAGGAAAGGAAGGCTTATGGGCCAAGATAAAGCCAGAAAGACTCGGGCTTTGGCCCTCGGAGGGCAGGGGACCCAGGGAAAGGGGTTCAGACAGTCTCTCCCTCCTCCTCCACCCGCTCGGGGCAGTGTGAGGGCAGAGTGGTCTCCAACCACATGTTTTGCTCCAGAGGGCCTTACGGGGCAAATTCACACCAGCCAGAAAATGGTTGGTTCCAGAAACAAGTGATCTTTTCATTCTACAGTGAGAATTATTTTTGTACCATAATGGCAACCAGTAGCAATACACGGTGGGGAAAAAGTGGGTTTAATAGCTGTGAGTGCATGAAACACAGAGTTAATGACACTATTGTAATAATCACCCCCTGCATGTCTTTACCCATAGGAACAACTGAAAACCTATTTTTACCCACCCCTGGAGATCCTTCCGTTGGTAGAGCATGATATTATTGAGCACCTCTAGCATTTAAGGGGATTATAATTTTGATATAAAAAATGAAGCTTAGAGAAAACAGAAAGAAAAAATATTCTCATTAATGGCAACTACGTGACGTACAAGGATTCAAACCACTGAAAGAGAAAGAATATTCACAACAGCGCGTGTCTGTGATATTTAGAGCCAAGCTAAGAGGGAGGGGGTTGCTGTGTACCATACAGAGGATGCAAACTGGTTGAGACCTGAGGCTCTGTCATGGCTGGGTCTGAGGCTGTCCCCAAGCTCAGCCTCAAGCTCACAGGGGCTGTTCCCATCCAGGCCGAATGTGACATAGCATTGACTTTGTCCAAACCCCTCACTTCCTGTGACCTGGCTCTTGAATGTATTGTATAAAAAGCCGACAGTGTTCTTGTTCTCCGTGGCAGTTCTTCATCCTCTGCTGTGTTATACACCCACGCATGCACTTTCCCCCCAGGACTCCCCATTAGCGAGAGATGCCTTAAAGGCACCACTGAGCATGACTAAATCTCAAAGCCAACAATGGTTCCAGAGAAAAACTCCCTATAGTTCTCACAGTAACACAAGGGCTCTTATTTTTTAGTTAGTTTTCAAGAACGTAATCTTTTATAGAAAGTAAGAAAGACACCAGTTAGATTGTCTATCACTTTTTTTATTAGTGGAAATTTTCCAGTGACAAATAGTGTCCCAGGACTTACCTCAACCGCCCGCTTCACCTCTCCATGGTTGGCGGTATTGATGGCCTCCTTCTTAATCCCCTTCAGCTGTGTCTCCTTTGCAGCGATCCAAGATGAGAACTCGGAAATTCTGAAACGACACAGACATTATCTCATTAAAGGGAGAACACTTCAGGACGGTTAGAATACATTTTTAAAAAAATACATATTTTTTATTGATTTCATAGAGGAAGGCAGAGGGGAGAGATAGAAACATCAATGATGAGAGAGAATCATGGATCGGCTGCCTCCTGTACATTCCACACTGGGAATCGAGCCTACAACCCGGGCATGTGCCCCAACTGGGAATTGAACCCTGACCTCTTGGTTGATAGGTCAACACTCAGCCACTGAGCCACTACATTCTCTAGTTTGAATTCATTCATGGAAATTCGACACTCAAGTGATTAGAAAATTGATTAACAGATTTCCTGGAAACTGTTCTTTAAAGAAACATGAAGCTCTGGGCAGGCGCGGCCACCTCTGTGCCCAGGCACTCGGGGGAAGAACAGGTGGAGCAGGCGGAGCTCAGCTGAGGAAAGAGCTGTGTCTGTCCGCGGCCTGGGCACCTGGGAGCGAGGACAGAACCTCACATGTAACCCTAAAGAATCAGAAGTCCCCCTTCAGGGACATGTGGCAATCCCAGAGAAAGACATGAACCAATGCTGCCTCAAGCAGATCACACCTGCCCAGCCGGCATGGCTCAGTGGTTGAGTGTCGACCTATGAACCAGGAGGTCAGGGTTCGATTACCAGTGAGGGCACATGCCCAGGTTGCGGGCTCAATCCCCACTGGGGGGTGTGCAGAAGGCAGCTGATTTCTTATCACTGATGTTTCTATCTCTCTCTCCTTCTTCCTTCTTCTCTGAAATCAGGAAGAAAGAAGAGAGAGAAAGAGTCATTTGAAAATGAAGTGCTTCACCTTTTCTGAATAAAACCCGCTCTTTTTATTGAATGAAGCCGTTTTACATAAGAACCTGGGCAACGCCATACAATCTGATTTCCTTCATTGCATAGGCTGGACCATATGTCATTTCTTGTTTTGTAAAAGTCTATGAATTAACACAACTAAAATAGACGATGTCCTTGTCTGGGAACAATGCCAAGGCTACCTGCTGGTGTAGTCCTTCCACTTGTCGGGGTCCTCCACCAGCTGCGTGTAGGTGCTCTCGATGGCAGCCCTGAGCTCCTTGAGCGTCGCCTGACAGGCTCCAGGCGTGTCCCTTACTGGGTCCCGGCCTGGGAGCTTCAGACACAGCTCCTCAATGAGCTGCAGCCTTTTCTCGCAGAGGTGATGCGGCCCTTTGTCACTGAAGAAGATCTAATGGGCAAGAAACATTATAGAATCCCTGTGAGGAGCCACTCAATAGGTTTATCTTTACACACACACACACACACACACACACACGCACACACACACACGCACACACACACACGCACACACGCACACACACACACACACACACAAAAGGAAGATTCCATTAGACTCTCGGTGTAAAGGAATTAAACCATTCGGTGTTTCCAGACCCAACCCAAAGCATCAGTCATGTCCTTTAAGTGACCATGTGACTGCGTGACTGCACTCGGGGGAGCGTGACGCACCCTGTGCTCTTTAATCATCTTTTCACTGCCTTCCTGGGGCACCAGCTTGGTCTCCCGGGCCAGCTCAGTTCTGCATTCTTCCACACAGGCCAAGAATTTATTCTCCTCCACCTTGATCTTCAGATGGAGCAAATGATATGGGGCTTCTCCTTGAAGATCCTACATTGCACAGAAAGATTTGGAAGAATACGATACCGTCACTGACTCTGTACATTTCCAATTGCAGTGACAACCCCTTTAGGGCCTAGTGACATCATGAGTACCCTCTGATCACAAATTGCTGTTACTGAAAGATAGGAATAAGGAAATTCTACTATTTTCATCATGCTCCATTCTAGTTCATTTATTTTAATGGGAAAAGTAGTTTCCTGAATTTCTAAATTTCTCGTACAGTCGACCCTAACGCCCTCCTGCCCTTCCCTCCGTCCGCAATGACACCAGGCCCCCTTCCTGTGCCCGCTCACCTTCCACTGCTTGTGCAGCTTCCTCACCGCCTCCTGCAGGCCCGCCTGCTCCTGCTCAGGCAGGATGTCTGTGAGGTCGTCGCAGGCTTTCAGGAAGGCGTTGAGCACCCTCTGGTCCAGCTGACCGTAGAACTCCTGCCATGGAGAGGGAGAGGGTGTGTGTGTGTGGGGGGGAGGGGGAATAAAGGGCCACATTGGAAGGGAAGCATAGAGAAGCAGCCACCCCTCTGAGCAAGCCTCAAGCCAGCTGCTGCCCTCGCCAAACCTTCCCAGCAACTGCTCTTGTTTTTGTGTGTGTGTTTTTTTCAGGAATGAACTATAATCATCTAGAGTTATGACTCAGAAGCCACCCACATCCAACATCCAACCCGTACTTTATAATTTTTAGAAAAAAAATATTTTCAGTTTTCAGATTTGGCAGAACATTCTGGAAGGCCAGGGGGAGATCCTGACCCCGGATTGCACAGTGACAGGGATGCACTCACGGTGTGTCTCCACAGGAGCTCTTCCGGGTCCCCCTTCTCCTCCAGGCCCTCCTGTGCCACCCGCAGCACCTTCTCCAGCTCCGCCCGAGACTCCTCAAACTTCTTCATCAGGCGGCTGTTGGTTTCCACATGTTTCTTCCAGTCTCCAGTTTTCTTGACCATATTCTTGATTTAGAAAAATAATCATAATGGGATGCTTTCTCGTTAAAGTATCACTTTGTTAAGGAACATTGTTTCTTTAAAAACCACTTGGAAGGAATACATTTCATTATAGTAAGAATTAACCCCTTTTAATATTAATGGATGTTAATATTAGAGATATAAGTGAAATGTTGGTTTCCAAACACCAGTGGGTGAGGCATTTAGCAAGAGTGAAGGCATGACCCATGATGGCTCTGTGTCCTTATTGCTGGCACTGTCCCCCGCTCACATTCCCAGCGGGGAGAGAACTCACCTGGAAGGCCACGTGGACTTCAGCAGTCTTTCTCTGCAGCTTCGTCTGATCAAAATGCTTCAGCACGTGGCTCAAGGTCACAAACTTCTGAACACTCTGACTGCCTTTCTCAATGTGTGCCATGGCCTTCTTACAGCTTTCCTGACAAGCTAGCAGCTCCTAGGAGGGAAGGAAACCCACAGCAATAGAATGTGAAAGGGCGAGAAAGAGAAGGAAAGAGAGGAATCATTACAAAATAGTAAGAACAGCATGATACAGCTTTAGGCTTTTTTCACCAGCAATAAACGAAATCAAAAGCACAGAGAGGTTATTATTTTTCCCCCCAGAATGTTAAGCAATCACTGAAATCTGGGCTTTTTACGTTTTTTTGAGATTTTAAAAAAATATTTCAAGCCCATCTTATTAACCTTAGCAGAAAGTGGGAGCATCAAAAATTGTTATTTGCCCTGTACCTGCATTTCTCCAACCAAATAACAGGCTTCTGGTGTACTGAGCAAACAATAATGAGATCAACCTACAGAGCAGGGTAGAGTCTGACTAAATGAAGTTAGCACCATGCACATCATACTTGACTGAGTGAGACGCAGATTGTGTATTATTTGTGTAAATTGTGTGGAGTCCTTTTGAATTCTAAGGTTCACAAGCTAACCACCTCATTGATAAAACGCTGGTCCCCAGATCCTAACCACAAGCGGCAGCCGACCAGTGGGCGTGGGAGGACTCGCAATGGACACACATTGACAGGACGGGAAGCGATGTGCACAGGCCTCCGCCTCTGCCCCGCGCCCTGGCATCAGTGATTTCCGCAGCGGACAGCATGGGGATGGTCCAACCCAGTCCCAGGACGACAGTCATTTTTTTGACTTGAATCCATTTGCATTTCAACATCCTCAATTGCTTTGGAAAAATATTTCAAATGGCTAATTTGGATACATGCTTTGGTAATCTAGATTCAAATATCTAGAGCAGAATTTTGGTTTTGCTTTGGCAAAACAGAATAAGGACACGTTTTTGGTTTTTTGAAGATTTAGGAGGTAACATTTAGAGAGGTATTATTAAATATCATTATTACTCAACAGTAAGCATTTTATTTGTGGAAAGATTCTTTGATGCCAATTTATAGCAATTTGAGAATGTAAGAAATGGCACTATGGCTCAAAATAGAAAATACTTTTTATTCAATATGATGAGAACTCATTAGAATAGGGCTTGGCAGTGTAATCATTGTCTCTCTGTAATTAATAATAATAATAACAATAATAATAATTGCTACCAGTTACAGAGTATGCATTATGTGCTAGCCTGGTTATAGAGTGTCTATAAATAAGCACTACCTCAATTTTACTACACATGCTTTAAAAATAACCGTGTCTCCCGAAAGGGACGTTTTCTTACCTGGTGTTTTTGTTTAAAAAGAGCACTAGACTGTGCCTCGTGCTCAAGCACTGTTATAATCTCACTGATTTTCCCAAGTGAGTCATAGAAGAGCGTCATCTGCTTTTCTAGTTCCTCCAGCAGAACTGACAGCTGCTGAGACTCATACAGGAGTGGGGAGTAACGTTCTTTGACCTTTAAAAGCACAAAGACAAAGATTCTGTTAAAAGCCATTAAGCGCCACAAGCGGAGGGCACAGGTCATGGCTCTCAGGAACATTTTCTCTAGTGATGTGGTCATTCTGTGGTTACAGATCGCCACAGGCATTTGTTTCATGGTATTTCCTATGCGTTGTTCAATTTTTATATACAAGACAATATTACTAAACCAGTGACACACGTAAATGCCACAGAGTTTTCTCGTGAAAATGTCTCCCAATCGCCCAGGAAGAAAATAGCATAAGTACTTTTAGAGTAAGGGCACACCAAATAAATGATCAAAAAAGGGGCCATTTTGGAATTCTTTCTCATTTAAATATCTGATCCCTTCCTCTTCTTTCCTCCTCCTCTACTTCTCCCCCTTTTGTTTAATCATATTTCGTTGGTCTCCTCTTGCCCTGAAGAGGCTTATCTTTCTATTAAAATACAGCTACTAATGCTTCTAAGTCAACAGAGGGAATAGCTGGTATCAGCCCCAGAGTTTCATTTTTAAAACTCATGGCAGTTACTAGATGAAAAAGTTACTAAATCACAAAGAGAAACAAAAGCATGATTTGTTGACAAGTAAAGGATTTGCCCCCGGTGACAGAGGAGGTAGGGCGCGCAGGAGGCAGAGTTGGTCCCAGAGGGTAACTTGCATAAAGTATCCCCCCACCTTGGTCAGCTGCTCTTTGAGCCCAGACATGGTCGCAAACATTTCCTTAGCTTCCTCTTGGGAGCTCTCTTTGGTAACGAGGTGCGCTGTCTTTGTGAGGATCTTGTACTGAGCATCCATCACAGGTATCCTCTGCTCAATGTCCTGCAGGAATCAGTGAACAGCGAAGTTAGCACCTTTCCATTTCAGGATTCTGCAGAAGGCTGGGAAAAAGTCAATATGTTCTACAGAACATTCTATACTTATGCTCATAAACCTTTGGAGATTCCAGTTATTGCTTTCCTTCATTACTAATATATTATATGTTGGTAATATCATATAGCTAAGTAAAAGCTTAAAAAAAACCCCACTAAACTGATGAACAAAAACAGATCCAGAGATAGAGAAGCATCGATCAGACCATCAAACCTCAGAGGGAAGGTAGGGGAGGGTGGGGGTAAAGGGGAGAGATCAACCAAAGGACTTGTATGCATGCATATAAGCCTACCCAATGGACACAGACAACAGGGGGATGAGGGCATGAGCGGGGGGGTGAGGTATGGGGGGTAATGGGGGGGGGTAAGGACACATATGTAATACCTTAATCAATAAAGAAATTAAAAAACTAAGCAGAAATCCTTAGTTGACATATGCTGAAGTGATCTTCACACTTTCAACATATGTGTTAATGTAGTATGTAAACATTATATCAGGTAAATGTATGTGAACACTTTGGGGCAATTGCTCTAAGTTTAGAAATTAAATTTATTTTCTTTAAAAAATAACACATTGTCATTGCAGAAAATGTATTAAATAGAGATAAATGAGGATAAAGGAAATTTAAGTTAAAGTCCGACAAAGTGATCACCAGCGCCATCAACCCAACATTACATCATTGATGTTGCTTCCTGTGTGTGTTTACACTCATTTTTAATTTTTACCAAAAAAAAAAAAGAGATGATGCTATTTTTTACTTTTCTCACTTAATAGTGTATTGGAAAAGTTTTTCATGTCATTAACTATCCTTCCATTACTTCATTTTGAGGGCTGTGAGGTATTCAAACTACTTAAATAGCACCATCCATTTTATAATGTTACTGCTGGAGATTTTTATGCAGAGGTGCCATCTACAGACTCCTGTTTTCCTCTAGTGCTTTATAATTTGGTTGAAGAAAAAATAATATCCTACTTAAAAGATTATTTTGAAGTTACTTTATGGCCCAAATACACCTTTAAAAATTCAAATAGTTTTTTAAAAACACAATTTAAAAATATTTTTGGAGGTACCAATGAAAATACACACATATCAAAAGAGACACAGAAAAAGCTTTGCAATGATTTGAGCAAGTTCACTGATCTTGATTTTCACAATCGACAAGGCTTTTCACTTTATGGTCCAGAGAGCCCTCTCACCTCCAGGTCTTGAATTAATAACTTGACGTTAATAAAAGAGACTTCCAAGGGTTCGGAAAGCTTCCTGTGGGCTTCAGTTGCAAAGTCAGACAGGGCAGTGACACAGTCTGTGTATTCCCTCTTCATCCTGTCCACCTCATCAGCTCGCGCATACTGTTAAGGAAAGGGAGGGGACGTCACTGACAATCATGAAGCCGGGATTGGACGTCTGTGACCTTCACTTCCATGTACTCTCTGCAACCCTTACATGGTAAGAAAGACTCTCATTCCTGACTCTTATGTTAGATACACTTGAAGCCCAATGACCATGAAAGTAAAAAAAAGAAAAAAGGAAAAGGAAGTAGCACAGAAGTGAAGAATTATAATTTGAAACATGAATCGTTCCATATGCATAGGTCCCATATGGCAGTATAATCATTACTCAAACTCTACATTTCTGTTATGTCCCTCTGTTATTCAGGGGGACGAATAAAGGACCAAGGATAAATATAACAGATCTAGACACATCTGGACTTGGCTTTAATAAGCCTATGTTATTAGAGACTAACAAATAGTCTCTAAACAGACTGTTCAATGCAATGTTTATAACACATACATGTTTCAGGCATATATAGATTGGAAAGACGTACTTGCTTGACTTCCATGAACAGCTCCCTCCAGCGCCCATTGAGCAATAATAACTGCTGTTTAAGGTCACGGGAAACCACCTCGTCACACGTTTCAATGAGAAAATTGCCAGCATCATTCATGGCAGAGTGTTGCTGTATCCAATGAGGCAAATTTCGAAAAAAGTCCTAGACAATAAACAATGCATCCTATTGTAAACCATACGCCAAATTTAATAAAGAATATGATGATGACCAAACTAAGAGAAATATCTTTGTTTGAAAATTTGTACATTTTAAGGTAAATCCTAACTCTCAAAATGCAACTATTTAATAAAGAGTTTCAAAAGTGTGAACTAGAAATGCTGAGTGTATTTCTATAAAAAACATCTATGCCATATCTTTTGCTGAAGACAAAACAAAATGTGACCATTTCTGTTATTGCTATTTTTCAGATGAAAAGTGGGATTTCTGTGAGCAAAAAGGACTTATACATTGTCTACCAGTGAGTAAATGTCAGTGTCAGAGTCATATAAAAGATACTATTGCCCTAGCCGGTTTGGCTCAGTGGATAGAGTGTCGGCCTTTGGACTGAAGGGTTCTGGGTTCGATTCCAGTCAAGGGCATGCACCTAGGTTGCAGGCTTGATCCCTGGCCCTGGTTGGGGCACATGAGGGGAGGCAACCAATTGATGTGTCTCTCTCACATAGATGTTTCTCTCTCTGTCTCTCCCCCTCCCTTCCACTCTTTCTAAAAATCAATGGAAAAAAAATATCCTCGGGTGAGGATTAACAAACAACAACAATAAAGAGATACTATTGTAGGAAAATATAGATTGGAAAGACATACTTGCTTGACTTCCTCAAAAAAAAATTGTAAACAAACTTTTGGTTTTAAAATCTGAATACAGTAGATCATCAAGATAATCACTAATCATGGAGCTAAACCATCAAATCAAAGGAAATTTAAAAGTTAAATATCTGGGGCCAGGAACACTGAATACAATTGAATACAATAACATCCTCCCTCATCTGTTTAATGTTACACAGTTGACAATGAAGTAGTTTCCACCTGATTTCAAGTTAAGCGTGTATGTGCCAGTGTATGTACACACACACACACCACAGTGAAAGCATGGAAACAAAAGATAATTCAAAATCCATTTCATAAGCTCTGTGTGGGAGTTCTTCCTCCATAAATAGACGAGAACAGTTCTGTTTCTGGCAGTTATGTTTCCTTGGATAAAATTAACACATATGACATCTACACAGGCACTGTGGTCTAATCAGAAAAGCCAAAATCTGTATAGCTATATCGTTTCTGTCACCATCAGCCACACAAGAATATGTAACCTAAATGAAATATGAAATGGTAAAACATTTTTAAAATGATACTTCTACTTTATAACACAATGATAGATGAACCAATCCTGGACGGCAAGCAGTTAATTCTAACATATGTACTATATTTAATGGAGTCTGGCATTTTAACTTCTTATACATGTAAATTGATTTTTCCGTGGGAAATGTCTGGCTCCCATTAAGAAGTCTATACAGGGGTGGGAAAAGGTAGGTTTACATTACCATCCATAATTACCTAAAAGATAAATCATAAGTAAGGATGTGAATTAATAGCAACCATAAGACAGATACTACAAATAAATAATAATCAAAAAATAAAATACAAGAATGAAGTCTGTTTCACATACTCACAATTATAAACTGACTGTTGCCCACCCCTGTTTATAGAGAAATCAGTCTATTTCATGTTATTTTCAAATGTGAGTGACATTAAAATAAAACAGTAATTTTTGCATATGCACATGTACACCTGTAAATGGAGGAAGGGAATCATGCCTGCTGAGAATGAGACCCTGGACAGAGGTTAATAAGATCTGAAAAATAATATCCAAAGAGACAAAAAATGCAGTGACCCATCTGTTAACCGCGGATGCCATCCCACAGATCAGTGCTATGTTTTAATCTTAAATTTGGAAATCCACAGGGCAGTGCCCTGAATATGGCCTCTCAGGTGCAGACCTTGTGAGTACAGCGCCCTCTGCTGCCCACTGGGCTTGCCTTTCCCCCATCAGTTCTTGCTCTTCTGAACGCAAAATCAAACACTGAACTATCAGACAGGGAACTGTTCTAACGTAACTTTTATAAAGCGGTGCACTTCTTAGTATAAAATAACTTACTACCCTGAATGTGCAACTTTTCAGGCAAAGTCGGGATTCTTGCAATCTTTATTTTAAATTTACGCATGCTCTTCTCCTCTTGTCAGAAGCAGCCTCACCTTTTTGGCAAGCTCCGATTGACTTAGCATTTTTTCGGCATCCTCTAGCCAGGCCTGCAGCCCGGCCACAGTGTCGCCATAGCGATCCCAGTTGGCGATGACTTCCTCCAGCATGCTCCGCACGCTGCGGACTTCCACCGACAGGTTCCTCCACTGCGCAGTGGTTTCATTCATGAATTTCATCACATTCTCGGCTTCTTCCACTGACACAGATAAAACACATGGCAAACTTTATTTTATTTTATTATTATTTTTTAATCCTCGCCTGAGGCTATTTTCCATTGAATTTTAGAGAGAGTGAAAGATGTCTTGAGAGAAAGACATCGATTGGTTGCCTCCTGCATATGCCCTGACCAGGGCCGAGGCCAGGGAGGAGTCTGCAACCGAGGTACCTGCCCTGGAGCGGAATCGAACCCAGGACCCTTTGGTCCGCAGGCTTGATGCTCTGTGCACTAAGCCAAACTGGCTAGGGCACAATCTTTATTTTATATTTTAAATCTACCATATCTTTTTTCTAGAGTCTATTACATTGGTATGCATTTATAATTCTTTAGAATTTCAATCAGTTATTGCTGAAAATATCTTATTCAAAGATTAAAGAATATCTTATTCAAATATCTTATTCAAATATCTTATTCAAAGATGATAATATATTTAAAATTCTTAATAAATGGGATGCAGTAAGTGACACATATATTTGTTCACGTTTTATATGCACTCAAATAGAGAGACACACATATAGTATCAATCACAAATGCTATAGCTCATTTTCAGCAAATATGACATGTTTACAAGTTGAAACAAGAATATTTTACAACTTAGGTCTTTACACAAACTTAAGTTTTCTTTTACTTTATTAAATATTCAAGTTAGTCCATTTTTTTTGCTATTAATCCTCAGAATTGAACATAGGTTGGAAAATTGGAATTTAGAAAATGAATGTTCATTTTGCTGTCCCTTAGATCACATATAGACATGCGTGCGCGCGCGCGCACACACACACACACACACACACACACACATATGATGATGCAGGTTAGGCATCATACAAAGTCAGTGGGGCTGAATCCAATGTATGCTCTCTAGGCCAATGATATGATCACACAAAGATTCCACAAGAGAACAAAAAATGATTTCATATAGAAATCTGTATTTTTTCATATAGAAATCTGTAGTTCCTAAATTTTCCTGTATTCAACACTGAAACAAATTCTGTCACAAGTTTTACCTGAACCATCAGCTTTGACGTACATCTCTGCTGTCTGTTTCAAGATCTGGTATGTCACTTCATATTGTTCAAAGAACTTGCTATTTTCTATAAAAGTCTAGAAAAGGAGGAATAGTTAGAAGATAACAAATACTGGCTTAGGTGGAAATGACAAACCCAACTTTCTTCAGTATGGGAATATGCTCCCCCAATTTACCAACCTCCTTCTTCCTAAAAATATCAAATCAATTCAACTGCCATAAATAACTTAATTATTCTGAGAATATAAAGTATTTCCACACTTTGAATTCTAACTCACCCCTAGACTGAGAAAATGTTCTATTTCCTCTCTACCCAAGGGTTTGTTTTTAGATGTTTCTTCAGGGGACCTGAGGCTAACATTTAGAAAGCACTAAATTTAGAAGAACATCATCGAGTGCCCCACTGGGGTGTAGCAGCGAAATTCTGTTGCTTTTTGAACCATAATTCTGGTGAATGATTGCTCCAAGGAACTTCAGATTATAAATAAATGGCACATTGCATACTTCCCTTAAAATAAAGAATAAGTACAAAAATGTTTACAAGTAGAAAAATGTTTAATAATCTCACATTCCACCCATGTTATCCATGATCTCCAATTTCTATTTCTTAGTATAAAAATTACAGATAAGGCATGCCTATGTCAGTATGTAATTTACATGTGTAATAGAGTTGCTATCAGCAAATGGATAATATAAAATTGAGAACACACAACAAATCCTTAGGTAAGTTTTACAACAGTTAACTCCCATAAATATGAAATAGCTCCTGTTTCAAAGATTATTCCTACTTCTCCAAAGTAGGAAATTGATGTAATTACAGGTAACAACATATCACCAAAAGCTCTTTAAATTCTCTTAACAGCATAATTAGGTCGTATGATTGGAACTCACTGAAATACTTGATGTCATTATAATAAAATGCAAAATTAGCCTTCAAAAACCAGCTGAAGTCCTCAATAGTAGGCTGATGGATGCTTAATAAGAAGATGCAAAATGCTTGTGTGCAGGTGCAAAACTACTCAGACAGCAATTGCATAGTCATCCCTAGATTTTATTGATAAACATTTATCATATTTCATCGTAACATTTAAAAATTACCTGTATAATACGTTTCATATCATCTTATGTGTAAAAGCATTTACTTACATATTAACTGTTCTCCAGGGAAATGGTAAAGAGAGCAAGCTGTGAGTTGCTTAGAATGAGGGGCCCTATGATGAATACTTTATTCAATAATTTTAATAGGCTTCATTATTTTTGTGTGAGAATAAAGTAATTCCACAATAGTCTGGTTGACTCGTTAGTTAGCCTGATATGCTACTTTTTTAACCTCTCCCTGCCCCGCAACTGGAGAAAAAGTAATTTACTGTAATTTACATTTTTAGTAACTTAATCAAGTAAGCAAGTCATGATTTGATTTTTTTTAAAGGAAAATTACACCTAATCTTCAAGACACTGTAAGAAATTGAAAAGATAAATATCTCTGGGAAAGTTTTAAAAACAGCTTTTAGTTTGGGCAAAAACTTCAAGAAGCTAATGGGAAAATTGTTCCAAGTGCCAAAGAAATGGGAAATCGTGCCTCTACTGGACAGAAAGACTTAATTAGGCTTTGGCTGGAGCAGTTTACAAACAAATTGAAAATGAAGAAGAGAGAAAAGTTTTTTCTAGTTTCATTTCTGGTCAAAGGGGGGGGGGAGGGAGAAAAGGGAATGTTTTAAGAATATTATTAATACTGTAGAGTTTTATTAAAGTTTTTTTCAGCTCCCATGAGGAAAGCTAAACAATTTTTAGAGGACAATGCTTTCTTTATTATTTTACTTTTGAATTGTTTCATTTATCTTGATTCTTTTTTCTGGATATTTAGTAAATCCACTTTTTAATATGAATTATTTCGTCTGTTAGAATTACTTTAGCAGGAAGAGTGCCAAACCTTTTTACTGTGAACTATCTAGAGACAATCTCTCAGATTTTGCAAAAGTAAACACAAATGCGTGTTTAAAATAATAGCAACAGGATTCCTGTATTTCTTTCAAAATAAGGTTTACATTTGGATGTCAAGTTGAACAAATAAGCCGCATTAGTCAGTAGACATTTAAAGAAAAATAAGATACCTCTTTGTGCCACTAAAATCAAAGTCTTAGTGGAAAAGACTGTATTTCTACTCTCACACAAGATAAATATAGGTATAAGAAATAAAAGGCTCATCAATTTCACTCAAAGGGAGCTAAGCCAGATAATTTAAGACTTTAAAAATCAATTCTGAGGAGTGGTTTCATCAGAATTGTCTATGTACATTAATAAAATAATCATAAACAATAAAATAAATGTTCATGTTATTTATGTTGCATTCACATAGTCCAAAGTTCCTAGAGCTCTTCTTTTATTTTATGTGAAAGAACAAAATTTATCCTATTTTTTCCAGAGTAAAAGTGAAGCATGTGTTAACCAACAGGGTCATATTAAGACCAATTCTGAGAGCAAGAACCAAACCGGTCATCTTCTGATTTTCATTATATTATGTAATCTTTTATCAGTAGCCTAAATTATTCAACAAGCATTTGTGAAGTATTTTCCTGGAATATATTAAGTACTTACCAGCTGCAGGCCATGTACCTTGTACAAGAAGTAATAGAAAGCACATTCTCTAATTTTCTAACCTTTAAAAAAAGTATTTTTTATATGAGTAAGATTGAATTGAGTCTGTTTCTGTTGTTTGTTCTTTTATTCTGTTCTTTAGATTCTGCATATAAGTGAAATCATGTGGTATTTGTCTTTCTCTGTCTGACTTATATTACTTAGCATAGTATCCGCTAAATCCATCCATGCCGTTGCAAATGGTCAGAGTTCATTCTTTTTTATGGCCATGTGATATTCCATTGTGTATATGCACCACGACTTTTTATTCACTTATCTATTGATGGGCACTTGGGTTGCTTCCATGTCTTGGTTAATGTAAATAATGCAATGAACACTTATATGCAGAATCTAAAGAACAAAATATAAATGAACAAACAAAACAAAAACAGACTCAATAGAAAGTGATGGTTGCCAGAGAACAAGGTAGTTGGGAGACTGGGTGAAAAAAGTGAAGGGATTAAGAAGTACAAATTAGGCCCAGCCACCGTGGCTCAGGGGTTGAGCATTGACCTATGAACCAGGAGGTCATGGTTCAATTCCCAGTCAGGGCACATGCCCAGATTGAGGACTAGATCCCCGGTGTGGGGTGTGCCCAATTTAATTGAAAAATAAATTTTTAAAAGATTTAATTGAGAATTCAGACTAAGGCAAAGATAATTATGGAAATTTTACATCCTGGATATTATTTTGGTTATTAGGTGATACTGCAGCATATGGTTCACTACAGTAAATTATTTTTAGAAAACAAGGAAAGGATTATATTTGAGAACCTGATTTCTAATTTTACTTGAAAGTCTTTATACTCTTTGAAATAGTCTGTTTTAAAGAGAGTGATTTTCCTCCAAACTCCAAAAGGATAAGAGAGTGTCTGTGGGGTGTCAGGTAGAAGTAAAACAGTTTGTGTCAGTCTTTGTTCCTTAGAAAATTCCTATTATTATTATTTTTATTATTATCATCATTATTAAACTAGAGGCCTGGTGCATGGATTCATGCACGGTGGGGTCCCTCAGCCTGGCATGTGCCCTCTTGCAATCCAGGACCCCTCGGGGGATTTTGGACTGCTGGTTTTGGCCTGATCCCCACAGGTCAGGCCAAGGGACCCCACCGGTGCACAAATCCGTGCACTGGGCCTCTAGTATGTATATAAGATCTTTTTTTAATCTCTTCCCACCCTCCCCCCTACCCTCTGAGATTCATCAGTCAGTTCCATGCCTTTGTGTTGAGCATCTGCCCCCTGGTGGTCAGTGCGCATCATAGCTACCAGTCGAATGTCAAACGGTCGAACGGTCACTTAGGCTTTTGTATATATAGATTTAGGAAAAAGTGAGTCTTCTAGAATCAAGCTATTTAAAAAGTGACATGGGTAGTAAGGACCTAGCCATGCTTCAACACCTTTCTGTGTGACTGGTGGCCAAGCTTCCATAAGGTCCCCCATCTGACCTTGCCCTGCCCTAAATCCATGTTGCCTATAATAGAAATAGTAGGAACTATCTGGCTACAGTATGAAAGTGAAAATATTGTCAATATGGACCAATACTAAATGGAACTAATATTTATGTGAGTTACAATTCTTTAGTTCTTTCAGCTATAAGAAATCATTTTTGATGATTTGGTCTATTAAAGTTAAAAATTATTTCCTCACAGACAATTTTGTTAGTAAAGTTTACTGCTTAAGCACAAGGGCTTTTGAGTAGGAAAGAGATGGATTCAAATCCTGACTCCACTCCTTACCAGCTAGGCCCCCCAGAGCATGTGACTGAAGCGTTCCGTCTTTGTTTCCTTGGTGAAACAAAATGAAAACCCTTGGCAAATGACAAATTTTCAATCTTCCAAAGTTATTCAAACTGTTAAAAAATACTATAAAACCCTTTTTGGGAAATAGTATGAGTGATAAATAGGTCTTTTTCACAGGGCATAAGAATATTAGAACATGTTCATTGAAACCTGCTATGTTTGTAGAATAACTAGCAATTTTACAAATGACTGACTTAGAAAGCAGTTTAAAATGAGCTGTATGGTGAACTTTATGGACTGGCAGAAAATACTGCTTTTTTTATTTTTATTTTTTTTTTATATTTTTTTATTTTTTGCTTAAAGTATTACAAAGGGTATTACATAAGTGTCCTTTTTTTTCCCCCCCGCCCTTAGCACACCCCTACCCTCCCTTACCCCCCAGTGTCTTATGTCCATTAGTTATGCTTATATGCATGCATACAAGTCCTTCGGTTGATCTCTTACTCCCCTCCCTCCTGCCCCCCAACTCTCTCTGGCCTTCCCACTGCAGTTTGGCAATCAGTTTGAGGCAGCTCTGCCTCTGAATACTGCTTTTTTTAAAATCATTGGTAACAACTCTCCACTCACAAACCTTTTACTTGAGGAAGTCAAAGAGAATTACTAACATCGTTGTGTTGAACATTAACCTGGTGCAACACTCCTATTAGGCATTTCAATCTGACTGGTCATCCTTAAATAGCTGGAAAAAGACAAATCCTGAATAATTACCTACTGAGTTCAGAGTGTATCATTTATATGACTAAACCCAAATACATAAATACATATCTGTATTTAATATTTAAAAGTCTGATGTAAGTACTTGCAGTTAAAAAATATAGATTTTTGTATTGCTTTTCAAAATAATTAAAAATGAATAAGGGAACATACAACAGAGTTCACATTTTGACAATTATTTCTGAGAAACTAAATTAAATCAAAAGAAATATTTTACCACAAACCTGTTAAACCTTTTCCTCCCTAAATGCATGTTGTTCATTTATCACTTAGAAAATGAAATTGAAATGTAGCAAAATGTTTTATGGTTCTAGGATGCTTTTTCAATAAAGACATGGTTTCAACAAGTATCAATCATGTCAATTACACAGTTAGTGTGACTGGTAGGTAACATATGGGCCTACATTTTGAATTTATTAATTTATTATTTAGAATTTGTGATTAAACATCAATGGAACAAGTCAGAATTGAGATGTTCTATTAACATTTCTTTCGTGAGAAAATTTGTATTTTTAATAAATTTGGGGGGTGGGTGTTTAAGAGAAATAAGCTGCCTTTGATAATTATAATTCTCTAATTACATGTAAATGGAAACTCCTAGTTATAGAACAACCTAATACCTTCATTAGTACAGAACTACTATTCTATCTAAATAACCTAAAATATGAGATAATCTTTACTGATAACCCAAAATATGAGATAATCTTTAAAAATTAAATTGGTACCGAGATTTACAATTTTTTACTTTTCCTAGGTGCACATAAGAAGCAAAAATGCTCAGGGAATAACCATAAAAAAGACATGCTGGACCTAATCTAAAAAAAAAAATGTTTACAGCAATTGAGAATTGTTCTCCAAGACTGGGTTTTAGAAGACAAGAAGATAACCTCTAAGTATGTTCACTCTGTTTCAATGGTGAGCTCACAGTCAAAGTCATGGGTATACAATGCAAAAACTTTTCTTTTTTTAAGCAATAAAGTCAGTCACAATGGTTCAATATGGTTAATGCAGCAAAATCTTTTATATCTCTGAAGACTACAGGTGTATATTTCAGATGGCAATGAATAGCTCACAGACTTCTATAGAGCCCCTTTCACACACTGGAACCCTTCATGTTTCAACCCAAGATGAAGTCATCAGCTACACTGGCCGGTACTCAATGGGACATCCCCGGCCCTCTGATTCCGCTACCCCAGCCCCGGGGACACTTACGATGTAGTTCTGCAGCAGCAGCTCCACCGAGTCTCTCCTCCCGTATTTGATGATCCAAGACTTCAGCTTCGACTCTGCAAGAACCAGCAGTGAGAGCAGACGGTACTTTAATTCTAGAAATTCCATTTTCATTAAGTGCAGTTCTGATGTGGAGGAAACGAAATGAAACCTAGAAATAAAACAAGGAGAATGCACAGAATGTCACTAAGTAACAGAGCGGGGCTTACTTAACCTGTCACAGTCCATGAGGAACCTAATGCAGGCACCAGGTCTTCTAAACTCTGGCTGATCGATCACTATCTGGAGATCAGATTCCCTTTTCTGGCTCTGGGTTTAAAGGCGAATCGGGATTGAGTGAAGCCTTTGATATAGCTCCTTCCCCTGCCAGCATCTCTCATCTGTTTCTTTTATACACTGTTCTTGCAATATTACATAATGTTCCTCACAGCCCTGAATAAAAATACAGCCTCTGAAGAAACCAGTTCTGTGATTTCCAGGCTCTGAACACAAGCAGGTTAACTCTTTAATTAATGCTATGTTAGCATGCTGGCATGCTTAAGCATATGTTATGCGAGTCCAATTTTACTCTACCAAATGTAAGCCTTTCTGAACAAGAAAATACAAATGCATTAAAAAAAGAAAAGCGATGGAAAAAGCATTCACCGAGCATTTTACAAAGAGGCTTCATCTAAGACATCTGCTTACCTCTCGGCCATGTCCTCTAACTGGTCAGGTGGCACTGGGATGCCGTTGACCGACCGGGTCCGGTAGATTTCATGGAAGGCTCTTTTGTGGGCATCTGTGTTTTGAAGCAGATCCTAAGATACGATTTAAGAAAAAAAATAATAAAAAAATGAGGCAACATGTTCACAGGAGGCTAAGAAGCATAATTTGCAGCCTGCACCGATGAGTCAATGTGTTCGACAATTTGATGCTGTTGCCACATCCACATGCGGCCCGGCGCCTGTCACAGGCTTTCCCTCGCACAGGAGCCCGTGCTGGTCTGCAAGGCCCCGGCTAGCGCTGCATCTAACGATCATGGCATCTTTTAAACACACATGCCACTCGCACAGCAATGCATTCACACGTTTTAAAGGTACATGATCCAAAGGAAAAAGGCATGATTGCCACACACAGTGATTTGGTGGTATTTTCCTCCTCCCTGGAATTTTTAGATATGCTGGTTTTTAAAAGCTTAACACTAAGCACAACTAATTTAACCCTTTAATGGCAAAAAATATTAGACGCTATGGTTTTTTTTATTTTGAATGCATGCAAGCTATCATAAAGTGATATTTGCTTGCCATCTAAAGTAAGTTGACTATATTACAACATTTTATGAAAATACCCTTATGGTTGGAAGATTTCAAATAAGCACAGGGAATTTCCCATAGATATCACATGTTAAGTTTATAAGTATTCTTTGCAGACTGTATAGAACTCCATAATTTGAGTAATTTATTTAGATTAATTTGAATCTCCCTTGATTTGTTTTCTGAGGTTTTCACTGTCAACAGACTTATTTATATAAAGATTTACATGAATTTCACAATTTCTAGTCAATTGTAAAGAAAGACAGAGGTGAACAATTTCATGCCATATATTCTAGAGCCTAGTTTATTTCTCAATAGCAGAATAAATACTCAACAGCTGTCACTCACTGAAAAGTAAGACACCTTAGTCCACCAGAGTGATATGTTTAAGTGAATATTGTTTTTCCCACATCAGTATTTAGTGGATTAATTGGAGAAAACAGAAGCAAAAAAAGAGCCTAAAGCCTTATGAGAAACACTTGATGGGAGGAAAGAATGAAAGGCTCTCATGCTCTAAATTAAAATGTTTGAAGTCATATGTGTTTGTTGACATACGTGACATTAATTTTGGGGCAGGATATTAATGTTTACATTGTAGAAAAATACATTGTAGAAAAAGCCAGGGGCAAACTATTTCTATCCTGACATATCTACGTTTTAACCTGCTTTGAGTCTGTAGGTAACTGCACAGATACTCACACATCTCTCTTGCCCAGAAAGAGGTCAGTACGTGCGGCCCAAGCTGGTCCAGAGGACAGAGGACTGTCCCAGAGCAGCTACTGCTGTATTTCAGTCACTCTGTACCTCCCTTCTGTGATCCAGACACATTTCTGTCAAATCTGTTTTATCATTTCTCTGTCTGAACTGATGAGAATTCCATTTCCCAGTTACTCAGTCCCCAAATTGGTGCCATGTCTGACTCCCCTTCCTTCATAATCAATATTTAGTGCTGAAAATCTTCTTTGCTCTGACCTAAAATTTTATTCAGAATCTGACCATTTCTCACCATCTCCACGACGACCACCCTGGTTCTGGTGACTCTATTTGGATTATTGAAACTGGTTAAGTGGCTCCTACCCTTTAACCCAATCTATTCTCACAAAGCAGCCAGGGCGATACCATTAAAAAAGTGGTAATAATTGCCCTGGCTGGTGTGGCTCAATTGGTTGGGCATCATCCTGTGTACACCATGAGCTTGCCGGTTCAATGACTAATTGATGTTACGCTCTCACATCTCTCTCTCTCTCTCTCTCTCTCTCTCTCTCTCTCTCTCTCTCTCTCTCCCTCTCTCTCTCTCTCCATTTCCCTTCCTCTCTAAAAATAAATAAACTATTAAAATATTTTTTAAAAATTGATAATATTATTCCTCTGGTAAGAAAGTGGATGGGTAAAGGTGTTTAGGATATGACAGAGAAAACCAACAATGTCAAAGGTGCAATTAAGGAGAGAGAGAAGGTGCAAAGAAACAGTATGGAGAAACATAGGGGCTTAACTGTGGGCACAGAAAAGATTAGCAAAAAATAGAAGAGACAATTTTGAACAATTTCCTGATAATAATTTTGAAAAGTTAAATGGCACAAATTCTTAGAAAACATGAATGAGCAATATTGACCCAATTAAAAATTTGGAAGCCTGGATATTTCTAAAACCATTTTTAGAAGCTGGGAATACAAGAGAGAAAAAACAAGCAATGAAGTTGCCCTTATGGAGTTGAGATAACAGTGTAGGAAATCAAGCAATTAATGAGGTAAATGATTAAAACAGTAGTTAAAATGAAGGGGAAAGAGAGTTGTAATTTCAAAGAGGTGGCCACGAAAGTGAGGACTGTAAGATAACCTTTCTATAAAGGCCCAAAGGACACAAAGAGGCACACCATGGGAATATCAGTGGGAGAACGTTTCAAGTCAAGGGGGAGAACATTCCAGAGTGATGGCAAGGGCAAAGGCCTTGAGGTGGGAACGTGCTTGCCTGTGTGATGTCATCTTTTCAGTGAGCTTCCACTGACGACCCTACTTAAAAATGCAACACCACTTAATACTTCCTGTCCTTTTGGCTTCTACTCTAACATTTATTTATTATGTTTATTATTGCTGATCTTCCTCCTCCCACTAGAAGTTAAGTTACATAAGGGTAGGGCTTTTTGCCTATTTTGCTCTTGGGTGTATCACAAACGCTTAGAACACTGCTTTGCACATAATAAATATTGTGGAAAGACTAGAAAGCCAGAGCCATAGGAAGAGAAAGAAAACTAGGAAACCAAATGAAGAAAGTGCGCCGAGGATAAAGGGGTAACTGTGTAAAATGATTCTGATAGTGATACCACCGGAATTAGCTAATTATTAATAACTAGAGGCCCGGTGCACAAAAATTTGTGCACTGGGGGGGGGGGGAGTCCCCCAGCCCGGCCTGTGCCCTCTCGCAGTCTGGGACCCCTTGGGAAATAACGACCTGCTGGCTTAGGCCGCTCCCGGGTGGCAGAGGGCAGACCCAATGCCCAATCCCTAGGTGCATCCCCTGGTCAGGCTCAGAGCAAAGGCGAATGGGGAAGTGGGGCGCCGCCCCCTGTCATGCACAGAGCAGGGCGGAATTGGGAGGTTGCGATGCCACCTTTCAGT